CGCGCGAATGTACGCGTTGTCCCATGCTTTGAAAGGCCACTGGAAACTGATGACGCTTTCTCACATACGTCGTGGGATAATGGTGCTCCTCCCTTCCGCTTCTCACCTGCGTCTCGTCCTCTTCACCCCTCCTTGTTCCTTCTCGAACGTACACACGCGCGCACGCACACGCATCAGACACAATCACACACAGCAAATCAGACATACATCAGACATGCGCACACATGCATTAAACACGCACGCGCGTATCAGGCATACACACTTGCGTAGCCACACACAAACTCGCGCGCACACAAACACACACACACACACACACCACAACGCACACACATACACACACACACACACACCGCACGCAGGTCAGAGAAGGATGAGACCTGACGCGTACTACACACCATACATACACGGGACCGCAATAGGCGTAGCATATCCCCGGCACCACAAGGGGTGCGCACGGGGTGGTCTCTGAGCGCGGCCGCTATCCGTGACGGCCGTCCAGGGCATAACAGGCGTGGCATATGCTCGACACCACAAAGGGGTGCGCAGGGGGTGGTCTCTGAGCACGGCCTCTAGCCGTGACGGTCGTCCAGAGCATTGCAGGCGTGGCATTTTTTCGACACCATAGGGAGTGCGCACCTTTTCGTCCCTGAGCGCGGCCGCTATCCGTGACGGTCGCCCAGGGCATAGCAGATGTGGAGTATTCTCGACACCATAGGGGGTGGGAACGGTGTGGTCCCTGAGCGCGACCGCTATCCGTGATGGTCGTCCAGGTCATGGCAGGCGTGGCAAATACTCCATACAATAGTGGGTGCGTAAAAGATGGTCTCTGAGGGCGGCCGCCATCCGTGACGGTCGTCCAGGGCATGGCAGGCGTGGCAAATTCTCGACACCATAGGTTGGATGGTCTCTGAGCGCGGCCGCTATCCGTGACGGTCGCCCAAGGCATATCACGCGTGACATATTCTCGACACCACATGGGGTGCGCACAGGTGGTCTCTGAGGGCGGCCGCTATCCGTGACGGTTGTCCAGGGCATAGCAGGCGTGGCAGATTCTCGACACCATGGGGGGTGCGAGCGGCTTCGTGGTTGCCGTTGACGGTCGTGGCCAGATCGAGACTGTCGTGTTGGTCGCACGGGAGCACGGTGTCCACTTGAAGACTGGTGCGCGGCCTGAGGGGACCGCGGGGGGGGGCCAAATCCGAGCGCAGCAGCCAGTGCTGAGAGCAAAACAGGGCTAGGATCGGGATAAGTCGCTCCAGAGCGTTCCGGAGCGCTCTCAGAGCGTTCCGGAACGCTCTGGGGCGGCCGCGGCGCCCGATACATCCTCCAAACCCGCCGATCCTCAGAGATTTCGAGTTATCCCGACCCGATTTTGTCCCGATCTTCGCGTCGTTTTAGAGAGGACCCCTGCGAGGTCACTCCGGCGAAGGCTCACTCTGACGCGTCGCCGATCACGCCTGGGCCTCCGGGGCCGGCTCGGGACGAGGAGCAGGCCCTTACAGGGAAGCGCTCGAGCGGCCGGGGCCCCGCGCCCCGAGCAGGCCGGGGCGCCAGACGTCTGGGCGGGAGCCTCGGCCTCCGCCGCAGTGGTCCTTCCCGCGCGGGGCCTCCTCCTCCTCCTCCTCCTCCTCCTCCTCCTCCTCCTCCTCCTCCTCCCCTTCCTCCTCCCCCTCCCCCTCCCCCTCCCCCTCGCCCTCCCCCTCCCCCTTCCCCTTCCCCCCCTCCTCCCCCTTCCCCTCCTGCTCCTCCTCCTCCTCCCCCTCCTCCTCCTCCTCCTCCTCCTCCTCCTCCTCCTCCTCCTCCTCCGGACGGAGGTTGGCTCGGGGGTTTTTGAGATCCAGCGGCTCCGGAGGATGCACCAAGCCCCGCGGCCGCTCCAGAGTGCTCGGGGGCGCTCTGGGAGCGCTCTGGGACGACCTGTCCTGGTCCCCGAGCGTTGACGATTCTGCAGTTGCTCTTCTTCGGCACCAGCTGGCTGACCCGTTGCTGATCTCACGTGCCTACTGTGAGTCAGACGATGCTGCGGTGCTCGTCGTCGTTATCGTGCCCGCCGTCCTCGTCCTCGTCGTCGCGGTCCCCCCACCCCCTGCGGAGCACGGCGGCCCCACAGGGGCAGCGGCGTGTGGCCCAGCCCGACTCTCGCACGGGGGCCTCTCTCTCTCTCTCTTGACGGCGTCCCCGGGGGGGCACAGACAGCGAGCCCCCCCAGAGGTAGCCCCGGCTGGCCTCAACGGGCCCCCCGAGGACAGTCGGACCCAGGCCAGAAGAGCATCCCTCGAGAATACGAGACCCCTCGCCGGCCAAAACACACAGAACATCCAAGGGGCACCCTCCCCAGAAGCGCAAGAACAGCCAACAGCAAGCGCGAAGAACCAGTAAGGCACCCTCCCCGAAGCGACCTCGATCTTGTACCTCGGTCCGGCTGTAGCCCGGGGCGGGGTCTCAGCACCGCAAGCCTGGGGCGCAGAGCGCCCCCAGGGGCGCCGCCGGAGGCGGCGCCGGAAGGTGCCGATGCCGCCCTGGACCACCCGAGGGGACCTTTGGAGGCCAGCGGGGGCTGCCTGGAAGGGGGCCCACAGAATATGCACCACCACCACGTCGATGCCTCCTCTCTCTCCTCTTTCCAGCGAGAGGGAGGGGGGGGAGGTGTGGTGGTGGTGGTGGTGATGGTGGGTGGGTGGTGGTGTGGTGGTGTGGTGGTGTGGTGGTGGTGGTGGTGGTGGTGGTGGTGGTGTGGTGGTGGTGTGGTGGGTGGTGGGTGGGTGGGTGGGTGGGTGGGTGGGTGGTTGGGTGTGGGTGGGTGGGTGGGTGGGTGGGGTGGGTGGGTGGGTGGGTGGGTGGTGGTGGGTGGGTGGTTGGGTGGGTGGGGTGGTGGGTGGTGGGGGTGGGTGGGGGGTGGGTGTGGGTGGTGGGTGGGTGGGTGGTGGTGGGTGGGTGGGTGGGTGGGTGGGTGGGTGGGTGGGTGGGTGGGTGGGTGGTGGTGTATATTTTGGGGGCCCCCTACCTGGAGGGCTGTCTGTGCGCAACCCCCGCGGGCATCTTTACCACACTGGGGCCACGAGAGAGCACCCAAGGAGCCGAGCGCAGCGAAAAGGCGCCCGTCGATGGATCTTCTCGGAACCGTTGGTCGGCGGCGAGCCCCGGGGGGAAACGGGAAGGGGCGGGCCTTCTAAGGAGGCTCGGGAGGCTTCGAGCCGTCTGAGAGATTTCCTAAGCCTTGGGTTCCTGAGAAGCCCCGCCGCCTTCTGCGAAGGCTGCTCCTTCTTCTTCCCTCCCCAGGCGCGCCGCCGAGTTGGAGGCCTGGAAGGGGGCACCAGCACCAACACAGGGGGGGGGGCCTCCACCGGAGGAGGACGACCCTGGATTTGGGGCGCTGGTGGTGCCACACGTCGGCCACCCGGGCAGCCCGGCCACTTCACCACCGTCACCGGGGTCGGGATCCTCTCCCCCCGGTGGAGGCACCCCGCCGACGCTGGTGCCGGCGCCAATCTCCAGGCCTCGGAGAGCCGGGCTCCCGAGGCCTGGGCTCGGCGCGCGCGCGCAGGATCGAGGGGCAGGCCGCCGCCGAGGAGCGCCCGAGGCGCTCCCCGGGGAGGCACCGTGGCCGCCGGACGGCGAAGCGCCGGCGTCCGCCCCCCGGCAGAGGTCGGAGGCCCTGCGGATGAGGTCCGAGCGGGTGGGGCCGGAAGGTCGCGCCGCATCGCCGATGCCTCGGCGAGGGGGCCCGATGCGAGGCCCGACGGCCTCCACGCCGACGGCGTCGGTGCACCGCAGGCGCCGCCGATGCATCGGCGGTGCAGCCCCTCCCTCCGACCCGAGCAGCGCGGACCCCATCCGGGAGGCCTTAGAGTGATACCGTCGGCGTATAGCAGGAGGGGGGCCGGTCGAGACGACGGTGGCCCTCCCAGGCGAGTTCCGCCCACTCCCCAGGCGTTCGGCGCCTCGAAAGCATCGGGACGAGGACGTGCCATCGTCTTCAGCCTCTCGGGGCCCTTGCCGGGCCCCGTGACCGTCAAAGAAGGGGTCGGGCTGAAAACCCAGTCCCTGGGAATGGGTCGACACTCCTGGGGGCCCCGCATTGGAAAAGTCAAGACCTCGGATCTCTGAGTCTCGGGCGTGCTCCGTCCCCTCTGGGCCTCCTGGAGGCTTCTCGTTGCCATGGCTGGGTCCGCCCCGAAAAACTGGTCAGGACGGGCCTCGGGAGGGGTCCCTGCCAGGGTGCTGCATCTGGTGGGCAGGTGTGGGCCAGACGGTAAGGCCGCCGTTGTCTCAACCAACCCTCCTCCGGTATCTGGGGAAATCAAAAGGGACCGATACCGCTGCTCCCCGGATCTCCCCCAGGGTGCGCGCTCAGACCAGAAGCTCGAAGCGAAGCCAGCGGTGCCAACGAGGACCTCCCATGAGGCCCAGAAAAACGAAAACGACGGAGGGGGTAGCGGTACGGGTGCCTTCTCCTCCTCCGGTTATCTGCACAGCAAGGCGGGTGGTCAGGTCCTCTACCCGCCCTTCCGGAAAAAACATCTTGCGGCCACGGTGGCATTAGCCCGGGCGTGTTCGTCAGCCCTGCGCAGGCGGCAGGTGCTGGACAGGGACGCCATGCCTGCTCCGAGTCAGCGCAGGAATCCCGCGGCTCGACAAAATCAAAACGACCGAGATGTTCACCGCGTCGGCACTCGAAACGGTCATAGACGGCGGATGTGTGGGCCTGGAGGTATTAGGTGGCAGCTTCCCCCTGCAGACGAGCGAAGACCGGCAGAAGCATAAACTTTCGGGCGTCCGTGCGGATTTTCTTGGGTCGGCCATGCCCCCCCCCCCCTTGGCGGCACCTCTGGCGCCGCTCCTGGCGCGCTCCGCGAGCCAGCGGAGGGGGGCCTGGCGCCGACCCAAGAAATCAGCACGGACCTTCAGCATGTTCATGCTTGTGCCATGTAATCATCCTTCGATCTTGCAGGACACTGCGGCGGAAACTCTCTCCGCGCCCCAGCGGCGAGCCGGCGCCGTCAGCACTGCAGGAGCGACAGGTCCAGGACCTGGATGCTCTGCCCGTTCTGGATAAACCTGTTCAGCTTCCTCTTGGAGGACCTCTCGATGAACGCCTCGCGGTTGTTGTGCTTGACCAGTATCCACATGTCGCCGAGCACCATCGCGTCCCGCATCGCGGCAGTGGAGAGGGCCTTGATCGTGTCTATCCGGATCGTGACCGTGCACGCGACCGCCGCCGCGGACGACGGCCACAAGGCCCTCCGGAGGCATAAGCGCAACGTACGGTCTATGCCACGCCTGCTCTGCCCAACACGGTGATGCCTGTGGTGTCTGTGATGCCTGTGGTGTCTGTTATGCCTGTGGTGCCTGTGATGTCTGTCTGTGAGGTCTGTGGGGCCTGCGGCGGGTGTCTGTGGGGCCTGGGACATGGTTAGCGTGTCCGCGCCGAAGCGCGGTGGGCCAGAAGCGGCGGCGCGACACGCTGAGCCAAAGTTCCTGGCCGTGCATGTGTGCACCAGGAGGCTGGAAACACGCGTGGCTGGCCTCACATGTGGAACGCCCGGAAGCCACGCGCTGGACACACGTGCGAAGGGCGCCGGAACGGCGTGCGGGAACGAGTGCACACGGCGCGCACCCCGCGCGCAGTGCTGCATGCTCTGAGCGCAGCGCCCTCCCGTCGCTCTCCTCCGCGGCCGCCCTCTTCCATCCCAGACCCCCGACGCCATGACCTTTCAGAACGCCGACCCCAAAAACCTCGACCCTTCCTCTGGGACCGGCCTTTCATCCGGAGCCGATGTTTTCACACCCCCACAGAGTCCAACCGCAGCGACAAATAGAGGACCCCCGCGCAGAGTCCGGAAATAGCGACAGATCTTCTGCCGCGACTTTTGTCACGGCTCGAGGTGGTCTGAGCTCCGCGGCCGCCCTCCTCTTTTCTTGTGCATGCCATGGCAATGGACACTCTAACAATCCCATCATTGAATTAAGAACGTGGTTCAAGATGTGTAAAACACGGTCTCAAAAAGCTTCAGACATGTGCTTACAGATTTAGAACATGTTTGAGACATGTGTTAGACACCTGGAGGCTATCTGGCAGCACGCTTCCTCTCCATGAATCGACTTCCAGAACTCTCTTCCCACTGCTTCCCGTGCGCACCCCGCTCCACCGCGCCCCGGCCGCGGCGGCTCCACGCTCCGTGCCCGGCCGGCGCCGCCGTGTGCCCAGAGGCCCGCCGACCTGACGTCTTCCATCCGCGGCCACGGGAAAGCGCTCCTTCATGCTCTGCGATGGTAGGGGGCCACATGCGAACACGACCCCTACCCCCCACGATTTCGTTCGGGAGCTCCCGAGCGAAGTGGACCCCAACCTCCCCCTCAGAAATCGTGGGGGGTAAGGGTAGGGTTCGCATGTGGCCCCCTGGATAGCGCCCGTTACCGGCCCCGGCCGCCTACCGCCCCCTCCCAGGTGAGGTCACGATTCATGCTGACCTCCGAATTGTCCTTGGTCATTCTTGGGCATTCCCAGACGGCGCTGGCGCCAAAGCGTGACATTATCGCCCCCGCCCCCCCGCCCCCCCCTCCCCGGTAACGCCCGCTGTCGCCCAGAAAGAACAAAAAAAGCTCTCCAGAATTCTGGACACTTGCCCCGTGGGTACTCTTGCGTCCCAGGTCCGTTTCTGATGGTCCCGGGACCCGAACAGAGCCCCTCGAGGGCCGAAATCGGGGAAAAACAGCCAGACTGAAAAAGTCATATCGTCAGAGGTCTGGGTGCATGCAGCCTCCTGGTTGGCGGCAGACAGGGGTGTGACCTCGATAAGCCCAGAGAAGTTTGTCAACAATTGAGCGAGGGCACTCCCGCTCAAAGTCGGTCCCCGGACCCTCCCGCGCGGTCGAGACTGACAAGTTTCTCGAGCCGCGCTCAGCCCTGGCGACGAGGGGGCCCCCGTTCTCCCCCCCTCTGTGCTGGCCGACCCTGGTGCCGGGCCACCTCAGCGCATCCCCAGCCAGCTCCCCGCCTCCCGGTCGTTTTTCGGCCCTCCTGCCTCGCGCAGCGGTAGATCTCCGAGAGCACGCCCAGCCTCGTCGCCGCGCTCTCGCCCCCCAGGCTCTGCAGGAAGGCGGGCCCGTAGTCCGCCGCCCCGAGCTGGGCCCGCGGCGTGCGGAGACATCGCCGGGCCCCCTTGCCAGAAGGCAGCCGGGAGCGGGAAAGGGCCGGGGTGGGGCTGCGCACAGAGCGCCCCCAGGCAGGCCCGACCGGCCTCGGCGGGCCCCCCGAGCGGTGTCCTGCAGCTGGCGTCAGCGGGCCCCGCGAGCAGCCCATGGCCTCCTCACCCCCCCCCCCCACCGGGGGGCGCTCCGGCCCCCCGGGGTCGAGGTGGTGAGCCTGTCAGCGGGCCCCGCGAGCAGCCCATGGCCTCCTCACGACACCCCGACCACCCCCCCCCCCCCCCCCCCCCGGGGGGCGCTCCGGCCCCCCGGGGTCGAGGTGGTGAGCCTGCTCGGGGCTGCTCGCGGGGCCCGCTGAGGGCAGCTGAAACTGCCCGTGGAGCCTGTTAGGGCCAGCCAGGACTAAGCAGCTGGGGGGGGCGGGCTGTCTGTGCGCAAGCAACCCGATGCCCAACCAGGCCAGGAGCGGGACAAGAACGCATCGGGATGAGTCAGGGTCTCTGGGGCCCCGCGGCTCTGAAGACGCACCGGGCGCCGCGGCCGTTCCATAGCGTTGGGGAGCGCTCCCGCTCCTGGGCCCGACTGGCTCTTGCCGCTGCTTAAGTTTGTGTTACCTCCTCCTCCTCCTCCTCCTCCTCCTCCTCCTCCTCCTCCTCCTCTCCTCTTCTCCTCCTCCTCTCCTCTCTCTCCTCCTCCTCCTCCTCCTCCTCCTCCTCCTCCTCCTCCCCCTCCTCCTCCTCCCCCTCCTCCCCCGGGGAGAGCCGCCGTGGTCTCGGCTGGCCCTCCTTCGAGATGGACTGCTCACGGGCATCGTCCCAGCACAGGGGGTGCTGGAGGAGGCACGGAGGAGCTCGTAGCCGTCTGGCCACGGCGAGCCTCAGGCACGGGCAGGCTCCCCGGCCCAGGCCTGCGCGGCGGCCCGCGGAGGTCCCCTCCCGAGCCCCAGGCAGCCCCTCCTTCGGCGCGCTGGCCGCCCATCGGAAGCGACGACGGGGGGCGAAGAATCCGCCCAGGGGCGGGCACTGCACGCGTTCCACCGAGAGCCTCGTCGAAGAAACGGATCCTCGGCGCCCCTGGATACGCGCACTGCCCTCCCCTGGGCTGCTCGCCCCTCTCGTCGCTTCCGAGCAGCGGGTGGAGGCCCCGCGGGCACCATGGACCGAGCCCAAAAGGAGCCCACCTCTTGCAGCAAGCCCGTGGGCGTGGAGCTTCCCAGCCCAGGCGGCAAGCCAAGGGCAAAAACCTTCACATGGGCGGCCCGGGCCGAGCACGACCCACGGCCCCACCCCCCAACGCAGACCGTGGCGGCCTATGCACGTCGGCGCAAGTGGATAGACGAGAAACGCTGGCCCGACAGGGTTGTTGCGCACCTCGGGCGGCACGATGTCTGCCGAGTAGCTCTGGCCAATGCAGCCGGTGCGCGCCATCTCCGTGCTCAGAATCTCGCGGTCCTCCTCGGGAAGCTCGGCGAAGCCGTGGAGCACGGGCAAGGCGTTCGTCTGCGCCATGCAGAGCAGCCGCATCTTGGCAACCGCGCTGTCGCCAGTCGGGACGGGCCCCGGCGACAGTTCGTTCTCCTGCCAACGCATCTTCAAGTACGACTCCATGACCTCCGTCTCCGTGCTCTCCGCGATCCGCTCGACGTACTCGAAGGAGCGGAGGAAGCTGTTGAGGACGGCCAGGGGGAACTTGACCACGAACTTCTCGCAGCCCCCGAGGGGCGTGGGCTCGGCGCCCGCCAGGTCGGTGAGCCAGTGCACGAAGTAGAGGGCGATGTCGCGCGGCTTGATCTGGGACTTGTGGTCGCGGATCAGGACCTTGCTGCGATGGAAGCGGGCCCTGGGCCCAGGGGCCTGCTCCCCCCGGGGACCCGCGCCTCCTCACGAGTCGCTCTCCCCACGGTCCTCTGACCACACCAGGAAGGAGGGAGGAGGAGGAGAGGAGGAGGATGAGGAGGAGGAGGAGGAGGAGGAGGAGGAGGAGGAGGAGGAGGAGGGGGAGGAGGAGGGGGAGGAGGAGGGGGAGCGCCCCCAACACTTCGGACCCGCGCCTCGTCCCGAGTCGCCCTCCCCCCGGCCCCCCAAACCCACCAGGAGAAGGGCCCCCCGGAGCCCGGGAGCGGCGAGAAGCCTCACTGAGGGCCCGCCTCCCTCCGGGGACGGCCGAGCGACCGGTGGCCCCGGGGAAGCGCCTCGCCCGTGCGTCGTGCGCCGCGGGAGCCCTCTGCCGTCGGCGCCTCCGCGAAGAGCGGCGCCTCCCGAGGAGCGGCTGTCTGCATGCCCGTCGGGGCTGCACGAGGGTCGGCTTCACAGAGGAAGCCAAAGGGTGCCGAGCCCGCTGCTCCCCAGACCTCTCCTGGGGTGCGTTCTGCCGAGGGTTTCGAGGCGAATCCGGCCGCAACGACGGGGGCCTCCCAGCAGGCCCGAAAAGGGGGAAACGAGGGAAGGGCAGCGGGGTCCGAGTAGATGGGGTCGGAGGATCGAGCCGCATCGCCGATACATCGGCGATGCATTGGCGCCGTCGGCGTGGAGAAAATCGGGCTCCACATCGAGCCACACCGCCGATGCATCGGCGATGCGGCGCGATACTCCGACCCCATCTGCTCGGATTCCATCTGGGAGGCTTTAGACGTTTCCTCCTCCGCTTCCCCGCCGCACGAGCAAGGCATCATCGCGGACCTCGCGGAACTTCGTGAGGATGGCGCCGGGCGGGCCCTCCGCCTGCACGAACCAGCCGTGGTTGAACTGCAGGTTGCACTGGGTGAACTGCACGGACAGCCGCTCGGCGCTGTCGAGGCCCCTGAAGGAAGGCAGCAGGCCAGGGTAGTGGTCCATGACGTAGCCCAGCCTGAGCTTCCCCGATGCGCAACACGCGACGCGTGTCGCATTGCGGAGTGCAACGCGCAGACTGAAAACGTAGGCATGACGCGATACGTTCGCAAAACGTGTGCCAACACGTTGAGCCAACACGCAGCGTGTTGGCCCGGACGTTTTGAACACGGCACGTGTTGCGTTCCAAAACGGGCATATCGTGACAGCTAAGAGCCCAGCGCGTGGTCGTGATCCCCGATGGTTCGAGGAAGAAAAAACGGCAAGAGCCTAGATTTTCGAAGCTCCGCGCGGATTTCCGCGCCAGAGGCGCCGCCAGGGGCGCCCCAGCGCCGATCCAAGAAATCCGCGCGGAGCTTCGAAAGTTTAGGCTCTTGCCGCTGTTTCTTCTTCCAATGGTGTCCCCGGCCGAGTAGCCGTGGTAGGGCGAGTGCTCCTCCTGCACCTGCACGGCAAGGCTTCGGGGCTGCGCACAAGACTCGAGGGCGCGCAAACATGCATCGGGGGAGGTCCTCCTCGTCCTCCTCCTCCTCCTCCTCCTCCTCCTCCTCCTCCAATTCCTCGTCCGCCCCCTCCTCCTCCTCCTCCTCTTCCTCCTCTCCTCCTCTCCTCCTCCTCCTCCTCCTCCTCCTCCTCCTCCTCTCCTCCTCCTCCCCCTCCTGCTCCTCCTCCTCCTCCTCCTCCTCCTCCTCCTCCTCCTCCTCCTCCTCCTCCTCCTCCTCCTCCTCCTCCTCGTTCGGCGGCGGAAACATGCGAGTTCCCATGGAAACGGGACCCGTCGCTACTCCACGTCCCCTTGAGCCACGTGTGCGCTCGCCTGAAAAGCAGGCCCCCCCGGGCAGCACCGGCTGGGCTCCTGGGCTCCCCATCCGGGATAGACATGTTGTCGGTGCCCCCCAGATGCGATCCAGGCAAGCCCTGGAACTCCTTTTGGAGGCCTGGAAATGGGCACCAACACCAAGACACGGGGCTGCCTCCACAGGGTGGAGGCGATCCTAGAATTCGGTGCTGGTGGTAATATTTCGGCCACCTCGGAAGCCAGAATATTGCCACCATCACCGAGATCGGGATTTTCTTCCCTCGGTGGAGGAACGCCGCCGATCTTGGTGTTGGTGTCAACCTCTAGGCCTGCGATCCTTGATCAGAAAGAAACTCTCGGCGGTGGACAAGCCTCCCTTACGTAAGCCTCCCTCCCTTTCGTGGAAGCGGCCTGGGACCGAAACCGACGGACCTGGACCCGCAAAAATAGCGGCCGCGACGCCCTCTCGCGAACCGCAAACGGCCAATTCGCTCAGAGCACTGGGCAGGATCTACATGGAGCAGAATGCGGTCCAGAACATTGCCATCTGGGGCAAAACTGCCTCGGGGGCCGTCGAGGCTGGCCGGCACTGCCTGGAAGGGCTGCCCCTGCGCTGCCCGAGGCCCTGCCGCGCCTGCGGCAGAATGAGGTCCATCTTCATGATGTCCGCCGACCCCATGTGGGTCTCCAGGCGTGTGGGATTTCCCCCCCATGAACCCCCCTCCAGGCAGGGACCCCGAGAACCCAAAGCCGCCGAAAGATCGTCCCAAGACGCCCAAGATGAGCTCAAAACGGCCAAAGAGACCGCCAAGACACCCCACGAAGCCTCCAAGAGGCCTCCCAAGAAGCCCCCAAAAAACCAAAATCTGAAATTTCCTTCGGGAAACGTGCGTTTTCAGCATATCCAACTTGTTAGCCTTCACAATGTTGAAAACCGTCCACGAGGCCCCAACGAGGCCCCCAGGACCACCCCAAGACGGCCCACGAGGCTCCCAGGAGGCCCCAAAGACAACCCAAAAGAACTCCAACGTGGCCCAAGAGGCGCCCTAGACAGCCCAAGAGAGCTCCAAGACGGCCCCAAGAAGGGCCCAAGAGAGGGACCACGAACCGCGAATTCCAGCGCTCCGCCCATTGAATCTCTCCAGAAAACCCAGAAGGTCCTAAGCGACCCCAAGAGGCCATGAGGCACCCAAGAGGCCCCAATGAGCCCCCAAGAGGCCCAAAAGAAGCACCAAAACGGCCCGCAAGACCCTTCGAAACTGCCTGGAAGATGCCCGCGAGAATCCTCGCCATGAGATCCCAACGGACATCCCAGAGCGTGCCACACACTACCCTGAACTTGACGCATTCTTGCTACTTTTCCTCGCCCCGGCTTCGGAATTCTGCCCGGGAGGTGGCATATTTGGACTCCCGAAATGGGTACGGAAAGAATGGGCACTATGCCCAACAACAAATGTTGTCCCAAGCCAACAGCGGCCGCCGTTGGGCAGGCGGCCTTCTGTCTCGAATTGACACAGGCCGCGGCGGCGTGGACAGCGAATCCGGTTCAAAATGAACAGGAACTGTTGTTGGGCATTGTACCCATTCTTCCAGTACCCATTTCGGGCGTCCAGAGCATACGCGGCGCGCGGACTGGTTGCGCGCGGGGCATCCCCGGAAATGCCGCGGGCACGAATCCGTCTGCCGCCCACGAGACGGCGTTTGTGCCACCCTCGGCGAGCAGCGGGGAGCCGTCCCCGAGCCCACCGGGGGCCGCCAGGGAGCGGATCGGATAGGGGGGCCACGTGCGGACCCTATACCCCTTCCTCCTCCTCCTCCTCCTCCTCCTCCTCCTCCTCCTCTCCTCCTCCTCCTTACTCCTCCTCCTCCTCCTCCTCCTCCTCCTCCTCCTCCTCCTCCTCCTCCTCCTCCTCGTCCCGACATCTTTAGGGGGCCCCCTATCGGGACGAAGCGTGGGCCCCGGAGAACACGATAACGGCCACGAGGCAACAGGAACGATGTCGAGCGCCGTGTCATGAGTCGGGCAGGCCTCGTAGAATGCAGTCCTCGAGGCGCCGCAGTCTATGGAGGGGTCGGCGGATGTGGCGCAAGCCTATAGAATCGTGGATCGCCGTCAGGGCGAGCAGGGACACGAGGCGCACTTCGCACACGGAGACGCCGCCGCCCTCTTGCCGCATCAGACCGGCGTCGACCAGCAGCCGCGTGAAGTTGTCCCACCTTCGGATCGGCGGCGACGATAGGGGCGAATAGCCCAAGGGCGGGCATTACACGTATTCGCCCGGGAGCATTGTCGAAGACACAGATCATCGGAACTTCTGGATACATGTATTGCTCCCCCTGTGCTATTCGCCCTCATCGTTGCCTCCGATCGGAGGCGGAAGGAGTGGCACCAGCACCAGCACCGGCGGTTGCCGCCGCCGAGGGAAGGCGATCCAGATCTCGGTGACGGTGGTGATACGGCTGGAAAGAAGACGCGCTGCAACAGCAACGCCCGAACTAGAGACGACCAGATGCCCCCCCTCCCCCCTTATCAGCCTCAACATTGGCAAGTACTGCGTTCGAGATGTTGGCTTCAGGATTTGTCTGGCCCGCCTATCTGGGAACGCTTATTCAATATTCAAGCGGGGGGGTGGAGGAAGGGTCGTGCGAAGAGGTTCATGAACGTTTGTTGCAACGCTTCTTCTTTCAACGGTACTCGGGCTTTTCTTCGGTGGCCGAGAGATTGCCACCAGCACCAGAATCCAGGATCGCCTGCCCGGTGGAGGCAGCCCCCCGAGCTTCGGGGGCGTCCAAGAGGGGGGCGAGGCGAGGCGAGGCGAGCGCGCGATGTCGGTCCGGTGGACCGGCCCTAGGAGGGCAGCGCGGTGGGGCTGGAGCCCTCAGTGGTCGAGGAGGTGGGGAAGTGAGCGTCGGGTGTGGGTGTGAGTGGAAGTCGAGAGGTGGATGTCGAAAGCTGAAGGTGTGGTCCAAGAGGGGGGCGGCGTCCAACAGGGGTCACACATCATGGCCCAAGGCGCGCGCGCGGACGAGGTGGGGGGACCAGGAGGCGCATTGAAAGACGAGGGGGCCGTGAAATCTGGGGTGATTCCCCCGTAACCATCACCCACAGGCCCACGGGGGGTAGAGAGGCGACGCGTGGAAAAAAATCAATCTGACAAGCAGTTTCATGTCGCAGGCATCAGTGCTCGACAGGCGGCGGGGGGCCCAATTGGACCACCCACCAAGGGCTTGGGAACCGAGGCGCAATCTTTCAACCCACCCTGAAGCGGCGGGCCGCTGGGCTCAAAGAAACATCATGCTACACCTGCCCCCCCGCGATGTAAAGGTCGAAGCCTGCAGGGACTGCTTGCGCCTTAAGCCAAGGCATCTCGGAACTCAGAGTTGCCAGGGCGTCTCACGCGAAAGTGGCCTCACCACTTCGGCTGAAGGCATCTCGAAACCTGGAGCTGCGAGGATGCCTCGAGCGAGAGTGGCCGGACCACCACGGGGCAGAGCATCTGCGAGGTCAGGGCTGCCAGGACCTCTCACGCGAAAGTGGACTGACCAACTCTGAGCTAAGGCGGGGTCTCCGAGGGGTAACCTGGCCTTGTCGACGAGGGCTCAGGAGAAGGCCCGCAAGGGCAAAGACGCCCTCCTCCCAAGGGCAAAGACGCCCTCCTCCTCCTCCTCCTCCTCCTCCTCCTCCTTCTCCTCCTCCTCCCTCCTCCTCCCCCTCCTCCCCCTCCTCTCCTCCTCTCCTCCTCCTCCTCCTCCTCTCTCCTCCTCCTCTACTTTCTCCTCATCCCTCTCCTCCCCCCCTCCACCTCCCCCTCCCCCTCCCCCTCCTCCCTCTCTCTCGCCTCCCGCTCCGCTCCGCTCCCTCTCCTCCTCCTCCTCCTCCTCCTCCTCCTCCCTCCTCCTCTCTCCTCCTCCTCCTCCGCCTCCGCTCCGCCTCCGCCTCCGCTCCCCTCCTCCTACCTCCTCTTCCTCCTCCTCCTCCTCCTCCTCCTCCTCCATCCTCCTCCTCCTCCTCTCCTCCTCCTCCCTCTCCTCTCTCTCCTCCTCCTCCTCTCCTCCTCCTCCTCCTCCTCCTCCTCCTCCTCCTCCTCCTCCTCTCGACTCAAAGTTAGAGTTGGGAGGATGTCTCAGGCGAAAATAATCAGACCACCACGGGGCGGGGCACCTCCGAGGTCAGAGCTGCGAGAAGGTCCGAGGCCAGAGTGGCCCGGCTGCGTAGGCACAAGGCATCTCGGAACCTGGAATTGCAAGGACTCCGTACAGGGCAGTTTTTCTTTTAATACGTAGGATTCTAAAAATGATGTTTAATGCATGATGAATGTATGAATAATTTGATGCATGAACTCATCGTTGTTTTTAGTACTAAATCACTGCATGTTCAATACATGATCCGCACGCGGAGCATGTATTAAAAAACGTCACTGTAAGCACAAGGCATCTCGAAACCTGGAATTGCAAGGACTCCATATGAGGCAATGAGGCTGCGCTGACAGACAGCTGACAAGAAAAAACCGTTCGCCACGGCACGGTGAGATAGCTCCAGGATGGTCCCCGGAAGAACCCCAAGGGGACCTCTGAGCATGAAGCCGACGTCAGGTCCCGAAAGAATCTGCCGAAGCAGGCACAGGACTGGTTTTAGTGCAGATTTGAATGGATGCCCCCGAGGTGGTGACAGAATTGGCTGAAAGTCGAAGGCCTTATCTGCATTGAAAAACTGCCCCTCCGAACTCAATCCCCCCATCCTGCCTACACCATCCCTCGTGTCCCTCGGCCGCCTCCTTGCCTCCCTCCTCCATCCCTCGCCCACCCACCACCACTCCCGCGCCCTTCCTCCGCCCCCGCCTCCAACCCATCTCCCTCCCAACTTCAAAGGCAGGGCCCGTCCGAGGCCCAAAATCGGGCGGCACAATGTTCAAACATATTGACGCCCAGTTTTTGCGGTTCCTCGACCGCGCTCCCCCCCACCCTTTTTCCGAAGCTCGTGGGAAAGGCGACTCCCCTCAATCCTCCAACCCTCGCAACCTTTCCGAACCCTCCAAACCTCCGGCCCTCCAAAACTACAACTCTCCAACTCTCTACCGCTCCCACGGGCACAACCCGCCCAGCGCTCAGCCATCTGGCTCCGCAAACCTTCTGGCCCCTCCGCATCTTCCAACCAGGATTACTCCCAGAAGCCCCCGAGAGTTACAGTCGGACTCGATTGGACAGGACACGCGAGAGGACATAAGACCCTTCTGAGGGCCACGTTGCCACAGGAATGTAGCAAGCATGGGTCGCGAGACACAGGACACAAGAGTACCCTTGATTTGGCAGGGTCGACCTACTAATCTGGGCCGACTGTAGCGTGGCAGGGCAGACACGGGGAACTGCAACATTCGGCACAATGGAACGTGCACACACACACACACACACACACAACGACGCCGCCCGTGCGCTGCTGACGTGGTGTGTCGGCTCTTGCTCAGCCTGGCCAGGCAGACTCAACGCGCTGCAATGCAACAGCGCCAGCGCGGACGTCGCGCGCCGCATGAGCCCACGCGCCGCCATAAAATTCTTCATCTGGAAAAAAACGAAAACAACAAATGCGCGTCGAAAAACCGCATGGATGTCACTCTCTGGGGATGCGCTGGCGTGCCCTGGAACGACCCAGAGAACCGCTGCTGGTGCCAGTTTTTTGGGGCCCCCAGGACGCCTGCCCTGCTCCCGGAACGCCAGCCTCTTGTCGGCCGGGCGCAGCTGCCGCCTCTCGGCGGTCTCCGGCCGCACCGGCACCCAGTCCTGACTACGTACACCAGACAACCCCAGCCCGACCCGAAGACCCAAGTGTCGGGTCTCCTCCTCCTCCTCCTCCTCCTCCTCCTCCTCCTCCTCCTCTCTCCTTCCTCCTCCTCCTCCTCCTCCCCTCCTCCTCCGCTCCGCCTCCGCCTCCTTCTCCTCCGCCTCCTCCTCCTCCTCCTCCTCCTCCTCCTCCTCCTCCTCCTCCTCCTCCTCCTCCTCCTCCTCGGGGAGGTACGGGTTCCACATGTGTTTTGTTCGGTGTTCCCCGAAGCCCCCCCCAACAGGGAATGGAGGGCAAATAAAGGCCTTCGGGTTGGATTAGGGTGGTTCTGGTGGGTGGTGAAGTCCTCGTCCACGCCGAAGGCGAAGCCGTCCTTGCCGTCCACGTGGAGCCTCATGAGCCAGTAGATGGCGAAGAAGGCCCCCACCGTCCGCTGGTACTCGTCCCCAATCGTGCGGCCCGAATTTGTGTGCTGCGCCTGCTGGGCAGACGCAAGGCTCGAGTCGGCCCGACGGGGCCGCCAGAAGGATGGCGAGGCCCAGTCTGAAATCTGCCTCGAGCTCTCCCACGCTGCGAACTGCAAACGCCCCGCGAGCACTGGACCGTTGAATTCAGGACGGGCCCACCAAAAAGCGCTGGCACACAGGAGATCTGGCGAGCTCGAGGCTTACGCTTCCCTTGGGCCTGGGAACCCCGGCGCTCGCCGTCCAGCAGGTACAGGCTGAGCTCTGGGAAGGCGTCGAGGTCCCTGTTGAAGTCCCGCAGCGTGTACTCCGGCTCCGCGATGCGCCGCGCCATCTGCCTCACCTGGCGGGAGGCAGGACAGCACGAGCGGAAGCCTTCAGAGCACCGCGCGGACCTCCGGAAGCTTGCTCTGCTGTGCCGTCTGAGGGACGATAAGGATCACGTCGCGGCGCCGTTTTCGGGAGCGGCCAAGAGGGGGGTGTCCAAGAGGGGGGGGGGTGCAAATCATGACCGGCGGCACGTGCGCGGCCCGGCGGGGGGGCCGGGGACGTCATGAAACAAGAAGAGGCGCCATGAAATATGGGGAAATATCATGGCCGGAAATATCATGGCCCACGCCATGATATCCCCCCCCCCCCCCCCAGTCATCACCCCCTTCTTTTCCGCCCCCGAACTTTTGAAGGTGGGCCCCTTGCCGCTGCCGCGCGTGTCTCGTCTCCCCCCGCTGCCGCGCGTGTCTCGTCTCCCCCCGTGGAAACGAGAGGAGGAGGAGGAGGAGGAGGAGGAGGAGGAGGAGGAGGAGGAGGAGGAGGAGGATATCCACCCCCCCCCCCAGCCATCCCCCCCCTCCTTCCCGCCCCCGACGCTCGTCCTCGACGCGCCCGAGCGGACGCCGCCGACGGCACGGCAGGCCCACGGCGGGGCCCCGCGCCCCGCGCGCGCCCCGGGGCAGGCGCGGCCCGCCCCGCGGCTTCAGGCCCCGGCGGCGGGCCCCGCGCCCGGGGCGGCGTGTTTTGCCCCGGGGGCCGCGCGCCGGAGGAAGCGGCGCGGCGACGTCTCTAAGGGAAGGTCAAGAGGGGGGGGTCCTTGCTGGGGGTGGTCGGCGGCGAGCGAGGGGGGGAAGTTAGAGCGGGCGGACCTTCTCAGAAGGCTCGGAAGGCCACGGGCCTTCTGGAAAGCCTCCTCGGCCTGCCCCGACGTCTCATGGTACGCTTGGCTATCAGGGGGACCAAAAGTGGCAGAAGCATAGGAGCTCGGAGGTCCGCGCGGACTTCTCGGATCGGCGCTGGGGCCCCCCCCGGCGGCGCCTCCGGGAAATCCGCGCGGACCTCCGAGTTTTTTTTATGTTTATGCCACTTTTTGTTCTCCCAGCTATGTAAGGATACGTTCCAGGAATTCTGGGGTGTCTGGCGGCCCTCGCTCAACCTGTCTGGAAAGTGAGGGGATCTGGGAGATCCCGGAAGCCCTGGCGCGCACCACGATCATGCGTTCTCTAGAACAGCTAAGAGCAGCAGAAGGACAAATGTTCGCAGGTCCGCGCTGATTTCCGGGGTCGGCGCTGGGCCCCCCTCCCTGGCGAGCGCGCCAGGGGCGGCGCCGCCGGAGGAGCCTCAGCGCCGATCCCCCAAAACCGCTGGGACCTCCCAAAGCGTGCTGTCATGCCTTTGTTCACACACACACACAGCCGGGGCTCCCTGGATCACAAGGTCAAGAGTGGGGGTCCTTGCTGGGGGTGGTCGGCGGCGAGCGAGGGGGTGGTGGGCGGCGAGCGAGGCGAGGACCTCCGAGTTTTTATGTTTATGTCATCTTTTGTTCCCCTATAGGGTGGGCGGTGCAGTCCTCGCGTTGCTCCTCGTCGGTCTGCACAGGAACTGCTGTTGGGCATTATACCCATTTCGGGCGTCCAGATCGCTGGCCGAGGCGGGGGTGGGCGGGGCAGTCCTCGCGTTGCTCCTCCTCGGTCGCCTTCCCCCAGTCCGCGGCCTGGCCCTCCATGGCCGAGCAGAGGGCGGCGCTGGGCGCGCCGCGGCCCTGCCGGGCCATGCGGGCCCGCATCTCGGTCAGGGCCTGCGCGCAGATGGCCGGCAGCGGGACCCGCTTGACGGCTCGAGGGGCCCAAGGGCGGCACAGGCGCACGGTGTCGGGAGCGAGGAGGAGGAGCGGGGAGGAGGAGGAGGAGCGAGGAGCGAGGAGGAGCGAGGAGGAGGAGGAGGAGGAGCGGGGAGGAAGAGGAGGAGGAGCGAGGAGGAGCGAGGAGGAGCGAGGAGGAGGAGGAGGAGGGAGGAGGAGGGGAGGAGGAGGAGGAGGAGGAGGAGGAGAGGAGGAGGAGGAGGAGGAGGAGGAGGGAGGAGGGAGGAGCGAGGAGTGAGGAGGATCGAGAGGAGAGGAGGAGGAGGAGGAGGAGGGAGGAGGAGGAGGAGGAGATCTCGGGGGCGGCCAGGAGGGCGGGGGGGGGGGCCAAAGAGGGGGTCCGCACATCGTCTCGAGGCACGTGCGCGGACGAGGGAGGGGCCAGGGGGGGGGGGCGCAAGAAGCACAGGGGGATACAGGGCCCGGTGAGATGCCATGGTCCCGACCGACCCTGACGTTCAACCCCCCCCTGGTCACCGGCCCCCTCCCGGCCGCCCTCGAAGATCTTGGCGTCTTCGCCCAGGTTCGGGACCCGGGGCGCTGACAGACCGATCCGGCTCGGAATCAGCGCAGCAAGATGGGGCATGGGGCTCCGGCCATGATTCGTCACGATTGCTCATGACTTCGACGGATCTCAGGGGCTCGTCGTGTCGCTCCGCAGGCTTGGCCCACCCCGCTTCGGAGCGACGCGCTATCCGCGTCCCAGTCCACGAGCGTCCACGTCCCGAGCCTTTCCCGGTCTCACGCCCCGCGGGGCGGAGCGACACGCCATCCGCTTGCAAGGCATAGCGTCTCACAGGGGCCGCCGCCGCGACACGCTGAGCAAGAGTACGTACCCGTACGCTTTCGAAGCTCCGCGCCAGGCCCCCCAGGAGGCGACGCCCGCAGCGCCGCCCCCCAGCGCACTCTCCGCGCGCCTGGGAAGGGGGGTCCCGGCGCGGATCCAAGAGATCCGCGCGGTTGGAGCATGCTGGAGGTCTGAGCTGACGGGCAAGCTTTGCACCACCACTACCACATGTAGGACGGGGGAGAAAGGAGGATGAGGAGGTCCTCCTCCTCTCCTCTTCTCCTCCTCCTCCTCCTCCTCCTCTCCTCCTCCTCCTCTCCTCCTCCTCCTCCTCCCCCCTCCTCCTCCTCCTCCTCCTCCTCCTCCTCCTCCTCTCTCCTCCTCCTCCTCCTCCTCCTCCTCGCTCCTCGCTCCTCCTCCTCCTCCTCCTCCTCCTCCTCCTCTCCTCCTCCTCCTCCTCCTCCCTCCTCCTCCTCCTCCTCCTCCTCCTCCCTCCTCCTCCTCCTCCTCCTCCTCCTCCTCCTCCTCCTCCTCCTCCTCCCCATCCTCATCCTCATCATCCCTCTCCTACCTATGGTCGTGATGGTGGAAAATCGGCCCATCATGAGCTGGATGGGCCCCTAGAATATTTGCTAAGAGGGGGGGACAAGGGCGAATTCGCTCAATATCAGTCTCTAGACCCCTCTCGGGGTTGAAACCGACCAGTCTTTAAGGCCGCGTCCAGCCGCAGCGACGAGGGGGCCCCTTGCTGCTGGTCCTGGGCCGACTCAGCCCCCCCGCGGGCTCCAACCGCGCGGACCTCCGAAAGTTTGCAGCCGAAGATGTGATCCAGAAAGTTGTCATGTAAGAAATCTGGGCCGGCTTCCCGGGGGATTCTTGAAACAAACCTGGGCCAACCTCTGCGGTTAGCGCTCGAGGGGCGAGCGTGCTCAAGAGACCGGGCCAGCTGTTTCCGGAAAAAGTGGGTTTTGACACACGCTGGCCCGGCTGTTCGCAAGGAGGTACCTTAACCAAATGCTCGACTGTACTTGAGCAGGGACCGACCGTCCCGTCATCTCTAGAGTCCTACCACGAGATGTTCTTACCCAAAAAATGTTCTAATAACAAAAACAATGTTCTTAGAACTTCAGCCTTATGCGTTCAAGCGAGACAGCCCCAGCCCGAAACGCTCTGAGAGCACACGCCGTGGCAAACCACCAAAAAGGGGGCTCTCGGAACATGGCTCGGTGGGCCTCTGGGCGAGCCGGGACGCTCCGCCGCTGCTCGACCGCACGTCTGCGCCGCCGCTCGCCCCTCGACGATCAGCACCCGCGCGTCGCCCCCCGAGTCCACCGAGTCGGACCTCCCGCCGGGCTTCGCGGGCGAGGGCTCCCGGCGCGCGGAGGGCACGGGGGTGCTCGTCGCGTTGCGGGCCCAGGTCCAGATGTTGAGCTGGGTGCCAATGGCCAGCCCGTCCTCCTGCCGCGGGGATCCCCTGGGCTTCGCTCGGGCGCAGCCCCCCCCTGCAGGAGAAGCTTCGGGGCGAAGACACTTAGCAAATACCCCGAGAATGCCACGAGAGTACCACGAAACCGCCCCCAGAGCACTTTTTGATTGTTTTTGCATACTCCCCCCGCAGAGGGCCAGGCCCGACTGACCCCTGGACGGTGCGGCGGCGGGGTCGCTCCTCGTCCGTGGCCTTGGGCGCCCTGCCCGGGCTCCAGGGCCATCAGAAAAACAGCTCGGGATGGAGCACGAGGAAGAGGAGGACGAGGAGAAGGAAGAGGAGAAGGAAGAGGAGGAGGTGGAGGAGGAGGAGGAGGAGGAGGAGGAGAGGAGGACGGGTCCCAGGGAACGGGCCGAGACCTCCGGGGGCTCCGCACTGCACAGGGCAGCACGTCGGGCCTCTGGGCCCCGGGAGGCCTCCCCGCACGGGCCGTCTCCGCCGGGCGCTGGGGCCCGGCCGCCCCGAGGCGTCCTCGAAGAGCGGCCCGAGTCCCCAAGGCGTGCGGTCGCCCCGAAGCCCCACCGACTCGCCACACGGTGTGGTCACCACACCGTTTGTGACTACCTACCAGACCACCCCAACCCAACCCGAAGACCCGAATTTCGGGTTGGGGGGGGCAAGGGTTCCATACGTGTTTTTTCGATGGTTCCCGACCCCCCCCCAACTGGAAATCGAGGGTAAATTTGAGCCTTCGGGTTGGGTTGGGGTGGTTTGGTGGGTGGTGACGACTCGCCACACGGTGTGGTCACCACACCGTTTGGGGGCCCCGATCCTGGATCTGCATGCTGAAGTTGAAGTCGCCCTCGGCCGTGGCGAACTCCTGCCCGTGCGGGAGGCCAATGCACTGGACGCCGGCGTGCTCCGGCTGGACGATGCGGAAGGTGACGTCGTGGATACAGTACAGCGTGTTGAGCCCCGGGTAGCCGTCGCTCTGCACGTTGTCCTCCGTGTGGTAGCTATATGCGCTCGCGTCCTCCTCGAGATGCTGCTGCTGCCACTTCTCGGTGAGGCCGAGCCGCTCGTCAAGTGCTCTGGTCACGCCGGTCCTCCAGTCCTCCGTGTACGGGCAATTCTCGGAGTAGACCAGGTCGTTGTCAGGCACCTTGTCCCGCATGCCATGCCAGGTCAGCTTTTTCAGGGGCACCTGCCGCCGTTCGTTGGTCTGGCCGTCGTGCATGAACTGCAGCCTCGAGAAGAGCGTGTGGTCGACGCCGAAGATCTCGGCCACGAGCCTGATTTTCACGAGCCTGGTGACACGCTTCATGGCGCCTGGCTCCGTCACGCCGGTGATGATGCAACCCTCCTGTTGGTAGGCCTCCCAGAACAAGTGCTCGACCGTCTTGGCCCCAGACACGCCCCACCTTGAAGTGTCGATGCCCTTCGCGCGCAGGGCGTCCCGGAAGGCGGCCAGCCTTTCTCTGTCGAGCTTGGCGGGGGGCACGGCCACCATGACTCGGCGGTTCAAAGCGGGAGCCTGAGGGATGGGGCCCCAAGGACGAGGTGCCTCAAACAATGTAAATCAACCCTTGGATCCTCTCTTGTCCTTGTGACCGCATCCCTCAGGACCCCATCCTTGACCCCCCGAAATGCCGATGCCCGCGGTCTGGAGGACCATCATGCCCCGCGCGACGTGGCCCGTGGCGGAACCCGCGCTGCCCCGCGAGCTCGCGCACTCCCACCTGCATGCCAGGGACCAACCTGCTCCCTCTCCTCCTCCTCCTCCTCCTCCTCCTCCTCCTCCTACTCCTCCTCCTCCTCCACCTCCTCCTCCTCTTCCTCCTCCTCCTCTTCCTCCTCCTCCTCCTCGTCCTCCTCCTCCTCCTCCTCCTCCTCCTCCTCCTCATCATCATCATCATCACCATCATCAGCATCATCATCCCCTCCTCCTCCTCCTCCCTCTCATGATACTCCTCCTCATCCCCCTCCTCCTCCTGAGTCGAGGAGCTAGGAGCACGAAGGCTGTCGCGGGACCGTGTCGACAACGATATCTTGGTCATGGTCCCATGACTGCCGTCGCCGATTCGCGGGGGTGGTCCACGGAGTGACGATGACCAAGAGAAGCAGTGGCAAAGATCGACACCGTCTCTTCTGCATTCCATCTTGGTCGTGGTCCTCGTGCTCTTTGCCTCTCCAAAGAGGGCGCCCCGAGAGAAAGGGGCCCCCAGGGCTTCCCCGGGGCTTCCCCCGGAGCCCCCCAGACCCCCAGAGGCTCAGGAATCCCACCACACGCCTCTGGGCGTGAGCGGTTTAAAGCGTTTCCTCGTCCATCTCCCCTCTTCCTCTTCGGGGACAGGCTTACACCTCCCCCCACTTCCTCCCCCTGGATCGGGGGGGGTGGCGACCCATTGGAGCGTCCAAGACGGCCTCGGCGAGAAGGTGTGGGACCAACATCTGGCCTCCTGGGAGGGGGGCTATTTTCGACCCCCCCTTCTTTGATCGAGTTTCTCCAGCATGGCCCCAAGATAGCCCCCAAGGCTCCCAAGAGTGCCCTAATCCTCGATCAACGATCGATCAACTGCGATCCTCGATCGATCGATCGACCGCGTGGGACTCAGGACCTCTTTTCCCCCCTCAGACCTGTTCACGGCTTGGACCCGGGAGGGAGGAGGATTTGGCGGAGGGGGAGTTGGAGTTTGAAGAGGAGGAGGAGGCGGAGGAGGAGGAGGAGGGAGGAGGCGGATGAGGAGGAGGAGGAGGACGAGGAGGATCGAGGAAGCGGGGAGCAATAATAACGATAATAAAATCAATCATACTACGAATAATCATAATACGAATATTACGAATGATAATAATGATGGTGATAATATCAAAAATCATAATGATGATGATAATAATAAAAATAATAATAATAATAATAATAATAATAATGATAATAATAATAATAAAACGAATAATAATAGTCGTAAGGATAAGAAGCATGAGAACAAATAATACTAGTACTAATACTAATACCAATAATGATAGTAGTACAAATGGTAATAATACTGGCAATAAGAGTAAAAGTATCAATAATAATGTTAATAATATTACTAATAAGAATAATACGAATACTAAGAAGAACCACGATATGATGATAAGTCGCCAGCCCAACGGGCCAGAGGCGTGCTAAGATCTCCAGGAACTGCTTTACAGTACTTCCACTTCGCGCGCGGGGGGCGGCCCCTGGGGGTCCCCGGAGGAAACGTACCCCGGCAGGGTCGGATCAGAGATGGTTTTCCGTCTGGGCGCCGCCCCCGGAGACCCTCCGGTCCCAAGAAGGGTCAAGAGGGCCTCCAAGAGGCCCCCAAAATGATACAAGAGGGCTCGAAGAGGCCACAAGATCGCTCCAAGACGCCCAAGATGGCCCCCAGACGCCCCGAGAGGCCTCCAAGAGCACTCTCAAGAGGGCCCCAGGATGCAAAATGGATTGCTTTCCCTTGGGTTTTGGACAGATTTTGGTGTTTCCACCTTTTCGACTTCCCGACGCCCCAAGACGGCCCAAGAGGCCCCCAAGATCGCCCCAAGAGGGCCCAAGAGGCCCCCAAGAGGGCCCCAAGACGGCCCAGGAGGGCCCCAAGACGGCCCAAGAGGCCTCCAAGACGGCCCAAGAGGGCCCCCACAGCGCCCCAAGAGCGGCCCCAGGAAGGAACACGAAACAACATGTCGAGCCCTCGGTCCTGAGAAAGAGGCCCCTAAGAGGCCCCAAGGGGTCACCAAGAGCCCTCAGGAGGCCCCCAAGACGCCCCCAAGAGGCCCCCGAGCGGCCCCAGGAGACCCCCCCAATGCCCCCGCAGACAGCCTTCGAAAGAAGCATCTTGTCCACAACCAAGTTTGGACCCAAAATGCCTCAAGAAGCCAAGAAGCCATCCAGATGCCACTTCCTCATCCTCATCCTCCCCTCGTCGTCGTCGTCGTCCGCCTCCTCCTCCTTCTCGCTCCGAAGGCCGGACCACTCACGACAAGCTCCGAAGAAGCTGCTTCATCTCCACGCGTGCTGTCAGAACGCCCCCGGGACACGACCACAGGCCAGCAACGCCGCGCGCCCCACCAACACGCAGACAAACGCCGCCCATGGCACAACACGGGCCGGCGGAATGAGCGAAGCGATTCAGTAATAACCATAATTACCCCAGTGCGAACCTACCTAGAAGTTGGAGCCCCCAGGAAAACAGCATTAGTTGCTATGCTATGCTATGCTTTGATATGCCATGCTATGTTGCGCTATGATATGATATGTTATGCTATTCTATAAGTATGATATGATATGCTGCGCCATGATATGTTATGATATGCCAAGTTATGTTATGTTATGCTGCGCTGTGCTATGCTAAACTATGCTATGCTATGTCATGTGAAGCTGCGCTATTCTACGCTACTCTATGGTATTATATGTTATGTTGCGCTATGCTACGCTATGCTATGCTATGCTTGGCTGTGGAATGCTATGCTATGCTATGTTAATGCAGCGTTGCGCTATGCTAAGCTAAGCTAAGCTAAGCTAGGCTAGGCTAAGCTAAGCTAGCCCTCTGGGCAGAGCCTAGGTGCTGTGCTGTGCTGTGTTGTGCTGTGCTGCGCTATGATATGCTATGCTACGATACGGTATGATATGCTGCGCTATGCTACGCTATGATGGGCTATGATATGATACGATGTGCTGCGCTATGTTATGCTACGCTGTGCTATGCTATGCTATGCTAAAGCTCAGCGAAGCTGAGACGAAGGTCAGCTGAGCTAAGATAAACCTGAGCTAAGATGAAGCCAGGCTAGGCTGATATGAAATAAGCTAAGCTAAGATGAGAGAAGCAACGCTAAGCTAAGGGGGCGTAGCTGGGGGAACCGCGAGGCGGATACCGGGGGAACCACCCGGGGCGGTTTCCACTGCCCGGCCCCTGTAAGATAGAGAGTAAGAACCCTTCTAGGCAGAGCCGAGGTAGGGAAAAACAGTAGTACTAATAAAAAGAATCATATGAAACAATGTGAATAAGAAGAAGTCGAAGAAGAAGAAGAATTCCATTGATAAGAACTGTTATAAGAGGAAGAGGACCTGGGGGACTCGTCGATGAAGTTGGGAACGGAAGAGGAGGAGGGGGGGAAGGAAGAGGAGGAAAAAAGGAGGAGGGGAGGCAGCGTCGGTCCGACACCCGTGCCATCATCAACGGATCAAGAGGAGAAAGGAGGAGGAAGAGGAGGAGGAGGGGGATGAGGAGGAACCACCGTCCCTGAGGCGCGCGAATCGCCTCACCCGAAGGGGCGCGCGGGCGGGCGCCGCGGAGGCCGCGGGGCCGCTCGCCTCCATCACGAAGGCGCAGTCGTCGGGCACGAACGTCGCGTGGTCGAAGGCCACAACGCGGCAGGGGTGGTCCGCAGGCACGAAGTCTGGAAAGTTCGAAAAGCCGTGCGGAGCAACCAGAGGGTCGAAGGTAAACGGGTCCTCGGGCGAGTCGGAGGTGGGGGCGGCGGCCAGCAGCTCCACGAGCATGGTGTCACCGTAGGCTTCGAAATCAGCCACAGCGCCATGCAGCTCCATCTCCTGGTCCATCGCGTCCACAGAGGGCGCATGCTCAAACAGGCGGCCAGGATCTTGCAGCATCCTCTTGATCGTGTCGCACTTAACGGCGGTGATGTTAGGGTGGAGAGAGCGGACCGCCGCCAAAACCAGGTCGATCTGCACCTTCGCGATTTCGTCAGCTAGGTCATCAGGGGCAGCTGTACCAGAAACATGGAGTGGAGGAGCAGGACTGCACCTGGATCTCCAGCAGCGCGTGGAGCGCAACAGGGGGGGTGCTGAGCAAGAGACCCAATGGCAAGCTGGAGCGCCCTTGCCGCCGTGGGGAGCATGCAACTGCACCCGAATGGGTGGCCCAACTCCCTCTGCCCAGTGCGAACAGCTGGGAGGGGGCCCAACCCGCACCCTTCATCTCTGGCATCGCCAGCAGGAAGCACTCGCACAGGGAGAAGCTGCCCAGAGTCATCAGGGAGAGGTGGCGCTGCATCAGGTGGCAGAGGTGCTGGGAGGGCTTCACGGACAGCGCCGAGGGCATGATCACTAGCGGCCGGCCGCGCAGAGGCACCTGCACCAGCACGCGCGGCAGGCGAGGAGGTCGCTTCATCTTCCAAGCAGAGACCACCATCAAGGACGTCGATGGCAGTCGCGAAGGCGGACAGCAGCTCAAGGCATCTGGGGTTCTTCGCCAGCTCCCACCACATCAGCATGGGCAGACGGCGCCATATCCTGGTCCGAGTCGCTGTCGTCGGGCCGGGGCCGGGGCAAGTTCCCAGGGCCCTCTCCTCCAACCACCAGAGGATCTGATGCAGGGGTAAAGTTCGTGGATCACATCGAGCGCGAACACCAGCTGGCCAACCGAAAGCTCTCCAGCGCAAGCGCCAGCAGGAGGACCGAGAGCACTGGTGGCGCGAGGGGCGGGATGTAGAGGCGGGCGCCAGCTGCGCCCTTGAACTGGGAGAGACGGCGCAGCACAATCATGAGACGGAAGATCAAAAGGTCGCCGACATCCGACTGGCTCCTTCCTCAGCTGGCTTCGGATCAGCACCGGGGCAGGAGGAAGCATAAGAAAACGCGAGGGCAGCTGCCCATCGCAAAACACCAGCGCCACCGCCAGGCGCGACGGGATCAGAGGAGCTGCCAAGGGATCGGAGGAGCTGCCAAGGGCGGCGCGCGTCCAAGCCCACTATCACGCGC